GCTATTTGGACTATGATACATACAGAGACGAAACTATGCTGTTTACCTTTCCTATATACTAGGAGTATACTTGCCGTGGCACTTTGTTCGTTAATACAGGAGACCAGTCGAGCGCACCTAGGCCTTATGGCGCTGTTCATATATGTTTATGCTGCTTTTTACAGCCCTGGCGCAGGGCCAGTTCCATTCACATATTCCGCTGAGGTATTTCCACTGTCACATCGTGAAGTTGGGATGGGCTGGGCGGTTGCTACGAACCTTTTTTGGGCTGCTGTCTTAGGCATCACTTTGCCCAGAATGCTTGACGTTTTTACTGTTGCCGTAGGCTATTTTCTCATTTTACCTTCAAATACCTTTCTTGACTTAACTAATGATGTCTCACAGGGAACTTTTGGTTTTTATGCCGGACTTAATGTCATCTCTCTATGTATGATATTCCTTTGGGTGCCTGAAACCAAGCAACGTACACTCGAAGAACTAAATTTTGTATTCGCTGTCCCTACACGCACACATATGCATTACCAGCTTACTAAAGCATTACCGTGCGTTATTCCCCTTTTTTTCGTTCCCCAATAAGCCGTCAATAAATGGATTCATCGACTAAGAGTACATAGATGGTGGATAAGGCGGTACATATTGCAGCAAAAATACGTAACGCTCGAACCACTGTACGACTTTGAGAAGCCAATTGGCCATCGACAGATCGACGATTTGCATGAAAACGATAGACTGAGAGCTCGGAGTACACTGAACAGCGAACGGATGGTGAAACATCAGAAACGGAGTTTTGGCAGGGTTGAAAAGACCGTGAGCGGAGGTGACTTTATGCGGACAAGGGATCTATAGTATTTTACCATTGAGGTGTAGTATTTTGTGTTATATTGTTTATTATGCATTCATTTCTCGTACGTGGGACAAATTCCTTTCACCCATCCGACTTGAGTTCAACACACTACTTGGTTTCTCCACTAGACTTCTGTTATCTAATAACCAACTTTGAGTTTATCGTTGAACAATATAAAGTTTTCGGAGGATCCGTCATTTAAAACCATTTTGATTTTCGCTTTAATAAATTCCAGTACCTAAGTCTAGTACCCCCCTTTTTCGGCTACCCTTTTATATTAAAAATTGTTAAAAGGAATGACTTACACAGGGAATAGTGGGAAGCTGA